GGGTGATTTATGGAACTGATGGTGAATCGAGGGCTTGCGGCAATGAAGGGGGAAGGCAATAATATGGCAGCAGAAGTAGGTTGGCAATGGTGGTCAACAGCAGGGGTGAATGAGGGTAGAACAGTGAACGGCGGAGGCCGGGATGAAGGCAGCGGCGGCATCAGATGGTGACAACATTGAAGGTGGAGGTGAAGATGGGATGACGGCAGGGGACAAGGAGAGGCAGGCTGTGCTGTGGCTAAGGCAAGTGCAAGCCGGTGACGACGGAATGGAAGGAAGACAAATTGGGAGAAGAGAAACAGAGAGAGATTCTCCTAATCCACGAGGGCAAGAAGAAAAAGGTGACCCCTAATCCAAGAGGCGACTGAGAGAAGAATAAGAACTTTCTTGATTCAAAATCTAACTGTTTGCATTCAAAATCTTCTTGTGTTTGCATTTTTATAGGGAATAAAGGTGACGAAATTTGAAGAAAAATTAGTTACAAACAAGAGAGAAGGATAGCGGAAGGTGGTTAGAGGCACCCCCTCCCAAAGGATGCCATGTGACATCTCTTGGAGGGAGAGGCGCCTCCCTTAGGGGGAGAAGGGGATGAATCCTCTTGTTGACCATCTTGCAGTCCTCCTTGGAAGAGAAGAGAGAGAAAACTAAAAAACATAAAAGAAGCTTGCAAGAAATAAGCATTATCTCCATTTTAAAAAGTCACAGTTGGAAGAGTTAAAAGCTCTTCAAAAATTCTGAATAACATAAATAGCTTCGGTTTCAAAAATTAACATAAATAACATAAATAGATTAAATGTGAATAACATAAATACCTTCAAAATTTGCGCTTAGAAATTGATAGGGCACCTTCGTATATATTTAACAATCTTAAAAGTAGGAGAAGTTCACGATACCCAAGTTAACCATCTTCATTCAAATGTCTATCCATTTAACAACCTAGTCTAGGACTGGGTGAGAGGATTTGAAAAGGCCTGCCGATGGGAGAGAACTTATGATCCAAGAAAACAAAGCTGTCGACGATCTGGGTATGCAAACCATGATTTCAGTGGCATCGTATGCGGAGTACGAAGGGGTCGCATGACACCAGGTAATAAATGTCACTTTAGTCTGTTATTTAGGGTCGTCAAGCTCCCTTTTGAGCCAAAAACTATAATACTTTCAATATCATTGATAGTAAAATCTAAGCAACCCAACTAGTTTGAAATTGTATGTATATTCGAGTATGTCATCGCTGCTTCATCGAGAAAAAGTTTTATTCATGTATCTAAAATTTTACTACACGCTCGACTCAAAAAATAGTTTTTCAGCTGTTTTTCTCTTGTGAATTTATATGATATTTCAAGCCGTTTCACCATTAACTGCATGCAGCATGACGATCAGCCCTTACAAACCATAATTCTAACATCAAACTACAACCTCATCCACCTACTTCGGAATACCGAAAAATCTGACATATTTAAAATACAATATGTAACACATCTGTCCCCAGCAGCATAATTAAAACAAGAAAGTAATTGTCTGCGACTGAGAGTTGGACCTTAACGTGATGTTGACCATCTCCATGATACACGAACTTGAGCTCCTTGCCATTCACAGCATCCCACCGCATGCACCCGTCCCAAGGGCATACAGCCCCACATCTCTTTAACCTCGTTGGACAAGTGAAAAAGCTCAGGCTCTTCAAAACTTTGGACGATTTATCGTCCAAAGTTTTGGACGAGTTATTGTGGCATCAAAATATTAAATAACGGGATAGAGCTCTGGCGCGGATGCCACGCGTTTCCAACCTTTCGTTGTACGTGAACACAGTCTGCGACAGGAAACGGGAAAGAGAAGATGAAGACCACCAGAGTTCCCCGCGATATCTTATAATGATCGTTGAGCAACTGTGCCCACAGAAGTCTCCACTCGCGATTGCACTCTCATTGACGCGAAACTCTTTCATCTCGGACTTTCCCAGATCTCCACGCTGAAATAAAATCTTATTGAATGACTCCACGAGGGGTCGTCGTCTGAGCAGGTGGCCCTCTCCATCGCCGATAGCTCCCCCCGATAGCTCCGCAAAGAAATGGTTGAACCGGAGGAGTTAAGGCTGGAGAATTATGGGGACAAACCTCCGGGAACCTGTGAGATACCACCAGATCCGAATCAGTGCAGAGCGCCGAATCGGAGGAACTTCCCATCTCTGCGACCTTCTGAGCAACCAGTAGGGTATCACCGGTAGCCGCAACAAGGTAACAAGCAGCCTGCCGGGACGATTACGCGCGAGGCAAAGTCTCAATACGAAGAGGAGTAAATCTGGAGCCAATCCGGATGCCCATACTGCCCGCCCCATTTATGGGCTTTCGCCAGAAACAGTCGGATTCAACCCACAAACCCCACAACCCACTTCCCTCCCCTTTAATCTCCTGCAATTGGTAGGCAGACTGGGGAGTGAGAGATGCGTTAAATAATCGTATTTATCCAAGTGTCATTCCGTAGAGATAATATTTTTGTAAAGTACAACAGGTTCTAAATACTTTGATCCCAACCAGGAAAGCCCAAATTCAGAGACTTGTGACCTTCGAAAAGGAGACCAAATGGGCAACCTTGTCTGGCTCTTTACAAGGGAAATGCACGTTCATCATGCGCGTAATCTTTTATGTATTATCTACGTTTGGCTGGAGCATTAAATAATCCCAATTCCTTGGAGGTGATCACCATGGTTATGCGTATTTAGATTTTTTATGCTCCTAATGTTTTGGGGCATCCTGACAATTATATACCTGCTAATCCGACGCCCGCCTCATATTTTGCCGGAATGGTATTTCCTACTGATCCATGCCATAAAACATAGCAAATGGTATGTCATCAAGGGTAATAAGAAGGGCCTTGTCCACATGCATCTTGTAGCTGAAGTCACGTTGTCGATTTCTCAGTAGATTTGTGAACATTCAAATACTTATAGATATGACAAATGTTATGATATTCGATCTGTCCATTGTTGGAGGTATGTAGAAATGGTCTACTGGACTGTTCACCTGGCGGGGGGGCGGGGCCGGGGATGGGTTGTCAATATGAGCACATTTTTTGTCTTGTTGGACAATAATATCATTTGTCCCTATAAGTTTCTCTCTTGCCCTCTAATATAACAAGGGAGAATGACTGCCTCTTTGGATTTTGTACATAGGACGATTCTCCATCCAAAAGGAAGAACAAGTGGGTTGCGCGACCGTGGATGTAGGGCCATACTCAGAACCACGTAAAACATTGGCTTCTCTTACTACTCTCCCCTCCATCTCTTGTGTTTGCATCTTTTTCCTCATGCCAAGTTAAATTCCATCCTTATTAAAGCCATGGAGGAACCATGGTTATGGAGCCGCAGAGTCAACCCCCTAGTGCTATCCAGTCTGCCTCATCTTTTTTGGAACGGAGGTAGACTCATAGGCAGGAAGAGAATCTCGATTTCAAGTAAGACCCCATCTATTTTTTTGTTTGGAAGAATAATACCCCAAGTATAATTATGCAAAAAAGGACAATACTACCAATTCGGAGTTGGATAAGTTAAGATAATGTTAAAGCCCCCCTTATATTCTCTCCTCAAGAATCGCATGAAATATTTGGCTGACATTAGTCGTGTAGAAACGAGTGTAAGAGGACAAACGTCCGTAAAACCGACGTCCACTGGTCGCCAATCAATCTCGAGTTAAATGGCCGGATAATATTAGAAGCCCAGTTATTGCAGTAGAGGGTCTTCAATCGCTTGATTGATTATTCTACAGAAATTTTACTCAGACGGGAAATGTTACAGTAACGATCGTTGAGCAACTCTTCTCACAGAAGTTTCCACTCGCGAATCATAGATCTCTTTCATTGACGTGAACTCTTTCATCTTGGACTTTCATAGATCTCCGCGCTGGAATAAAATCTTATTGAATTGACTCCACGAGGGGTCGTCGTCTGAGCTGGTGGCCCTCTCCATCGCCTTCAAAGACCGACAGCTGCTTGATTGTTATGGGTGAGGCGTACCGACGCCCCCGATACGCCGCGCGAACGATCAGCTCGTAACTAGCCTGGGTGGGGTGGTACTGGTCCCAGTAGAAATATTTGCCCCTGTTGGAGCAGTAGGTCGAGTTGGACCTGCATTCTGATTCGGCGTTCAATCTCCCAGAGCCGCAGCAAGCAGAGACGATGTCCGTAAACCCTTTGAAGAGACCGAGAAGACGACGTCAGAGCTATCCGGAGAGGAAGATCGGGTGGAAGAGGAAGATCAGGGGGATGCGCATACCATATTTTAGCAGTTGGGACGAGACAAGGGAGAGGAAGTCGTAAGTGTTGATGGAGTAGGAGAAGCTTTTCAAGGTGGAGGAGAGGTCCCGCAGGACGATCTGTGTGGCCTTGTTGAACTGCTGAGTGAGAATGTTTAAGTCTTCTACACATTTGCAGCCGGGGACGCCCACGCGTAGAATGGGGATACAGCCGGTGAGGGAGGAGCCGAACACCGCGAATTTCCTCGCTCCGAGATCGTACAGCGCCTGTCAAGCTCGGGTTCCATTAAATATAGGGACTGTCGTATACATAATTCGCTATAGATGGGCGGACAGACAGGAGAGAGAGAGTTAGAGATGATGGCGTTAAGCCCAGTCAAGAAATGGAAGCGTGAAGATCGCCGGAAACGGCAACACTCCGGCAGTTTCTCCTGCGAAGACTTTCAAATTGTTCATCGTTTCTTAAGTTTTATTATTTTTAATCCTGACCGTCCATATCTCTGGAGTTATAACGGCTGAGATGAAAGCTACGTGAAACGTGGCCCCACGAATCGTAACTATCATTAATGACCGTTACTCTGACTCTCTCCTATAAAATTGTACTCAATATGTTCGATGAAATGTATGAAAAGAGAGGTTGCTCTGTTTTCAGAGGAAGACATTCGTGCTTGATCCTTCCCCACTATCTCTCTCCAGATCCTTTGATCCCAACATTTGGTATCAGATCACCAGGTTATGGAGAGAAGACAGAAGATGCCACGCCATGGAGATGCTACGGAAGGCGAGAGCTCACTTGCCGCAAGCGGAGCAGTGAAAGGACCTGGAGATGCCGGATATCCAGGTACGTTCCCAGTCTTGAATAAGACCAATTATCCAGTGTGGGCGATGCATATGGAACTGCACTTGGAGGCTCACAGCTTATGGGATGCTATTGAGTCGAAGACAATAGCAAGGAAGAAGGATAGGCAAGCCCTCTCTGTGATGCTCGGAGCCGTGTCCGAAGACATCCAGACACAACTCGACATCGCAAAAATGGCAAAAGAAACTTGGGAGCTTTTCAAAGCGACATATGTGGGAGTGACCCGTCTCACAAAATCGAGACTTCAAGGTCTCAGGCAAGAATTTGAGATGTTTCAAATGAGGGATGATGAAGCTGTGACAGACTTCGCCAAAAAACCGTCACGAGTTGTCACTCAAATCAGAAATTTGGGTGAAAAGTTGGAGGAAGGTGTTGTTGTTGCCAAGCTACTTCGAGTAACACCAAGGAGATTTAATCCAATTACGGCGTCTCTCAAGCAATTCGGCGGCATCGACTCCATGCCATTTGAAGAAGCAGTGGGATCTCTTAAGATCTACAAAGAGAAACTCAAGTCTCGTCAGCAGAAAAGGGAAGAACAAGTCCTGTTTTCTCACGAGATTGAGAAAACAAAGGGTGGAAATCCTCGCAGTAGAGGACGTGGTCGAGGTCATGGGCGTGGCCGAGGAAGAGGAAGGAGCAATGGGAGAGGCTCGGATGAAAATTGGAAGCCTGATGACAAATCCACAGTGAAATGCTACAACTGTGACAAAATGGGACACTTCTAATGTAGAGAAAAAAGAGGAGAAAGCTTACCTTTCGAAGACTGAAGAAAAAGCTGAGTCAACACTTCTAATGTCAACTTTACTATAAGGTGAAATGGAAACTCAAATCGAAGACGGAATGTGGTACTTAGACACAGCTGCCACAAATCACATGATTGGAGATCGAAATCTATTTTATGAACTCACTGAATCACCCGGAGGAGTGGTGAAGTTCGGTGAGCTCCGGCATCACCATTTCAGGCAAAGGCAGCATTCTAGTAAGTTGTCAAGACAGAAGCAAGTTGACTCTTAGCAATGTACTTTATGCTCCTAGACTCAAGACTCATATACTCAGCCTCGGCTGCTTAGATGATCAAGGATTCAAAATCGAGATGGAATCAGGCTATCTCAAAATCCTCGATCAACAAAGAAGACTTCTAGCATGGGTAAATAAGATGCAGGGAAGTCTTTATCCACTGAAACTAACAATTATTGATCATTGTCTTGTCTCAAAAGAAGATGAGACTGAGTGGACTTGGCATCGGAGATATGGCCACCTTAATTTCAACTCTCTAAAGTCACTTCCCAATGTTGTCTAGGGGTTGCCTCCGCTTCAAAAGCTCAAGAGCATATGCCGAGATTGTGTAGTTGCTAAACATACTCGACATACTTTCCCCTCTGCTTCACTGTTCAAAGCTAGCACTCCACTGGAGGTGATCCATGGAGATCTCTGTGGCCCGATCATGCCAAGTACATACGGAGGAAATCGGTATTTCTTCCTAATCATAGATGATTATTCCCGATTGATGTGGGTTGCTTTTTTGAAGCAGAAGAGTGAAGCTCTTCAGGCATTTGTGAGGTTTAAAACCATGGATAAGACAGAGAAAGTAAAAATCGGTGTTTTTCTACCTAACAGAGGCGGGGAATTTAATTCCACGGAATTTGATTCCTTCTATTCTCAACATGAAATCAAAAGACATCTATCAGCCCCCTACTCACCTCAGCAAAATGGGATTGTTGAGAAAAAGAATTGAACCATTATGGAAATGGTTCGAAGCATGTTGAGAAGCAAGAACTTACCACTGGAGCTATGGGGCCAAGCCGTGAACTCGAGCATCTACATCCTCAATCGATCACCTACAAAGAGCCTCAATCCAGTCACACCATATGAAGTTTGGTGCGGATCTAAATCAAATGTGGCTCACTTCAGAGTGTTTGGTTCACTAGTTCATGTGAAGATATACTCAGACAACACTTGACCAAGTTACAAGACAGAACCAAACCTATGATATTCATAGGATAAGAAGTGGGGACTAAAGCTTATAGATGCTTCGATCCTCAAGAGAATAAAGCTCACATCAGCCGAGATGTGATCTTCGAAGAAGATAGTCAATGGGAGTGGAATTCTTCGGAGCAATCCAACAAAAGTACACCTTGCTTACCCACTTATGTTAACTTTGATGATGTAGAAGCAAATCCCGACGACCAAGCTGTCTCTCCACCAATACTCGACAACAATCGTGCTCAAGACCAAGATATTTCTTCAACATTAGAAGGAGGTCGTCCTAGAAGGTTTAAATATATATCTCAAGTCTATGAAGAGACGGAGGAATGCAATCTAACAATCGAAGAACCCTCCTCATATCAGGAAGCAGTCTCCAAGAAACTTGGAGAAAAGCCATGGAAGAAGAAATAGCAGCAATCATGAGAAACCACACATGGATTCTCACTCCAGCCACAAAGAATTGTAAGCCCATCGGTCTTAAATGGATTTTTAAGATAAAGAGAAACTCACAAGGGAAAATAATTCGCCACAAAGCCAAATTGGTCGCAAAAGGGTATGTTCAAAAATTGGGCATTGATTATGAGGAAGTTTTTGCCCCAGTAGCAAGAATGGAGATAGTTAGAGTGATAATTTCTCTCGCGGCCCAAAATGGTTGGAGACTTCATCATCTAGATGTTAAGTTAGCTTTTTTAAATAGAGAACTTGAAGAAGAAGTGTTTGTCAAACAGCCGGAAGGTTGCATCCACAGAGGTAAAGAGAATTATGTATATAAGTTAAAGAAAGCTCTTTATGGTTTGAAATAGGCACCTCGAGCGTGGTATACGAAGTTAGACAAGTGTCTTATCTCACTTGATTTTATCAGAAGCTCTCAGAAACAAGTTGTATACACAAAATCTTCTGACAAAGATCATCTGATTATGGGGGTGTACGTTGATGACCTCATTGTTACTAGAAACAGTGAAGAATGTATCTCAGATTTCAAACAAACAATGATGAAGAAATTCGAGATGAGGGATCTAGGTCTACTCACCTCATATCTGGGAATAGAAGTGGAACAAACCGGAGATGTGATCAGGCTGAAGCAAAAGAACTATGCCCTGTGGTTACTTGAACAGAGTGGAATGCAAGGATGTAACTCTGTCTCCACGCTACTTGAAGCACGATTCAAGTTCAATGAAGGAAGCAAGAGTCAACCTGTTGACTCAACAAAATTCAGGAGCATAATCGGGAGCTTAAGGTATTTAATCCATACCCGACCTGATCTAACCTATTATGTGGGTTATCTTAGTAGGTACATGGAAGCACCTACGACAGAGCATATGGCAGCATTAAAATGGATTCTCCGATATGTCAAAGGTACTGTGAATCTTGGATTACAGGAAAGGATTCGCGTTCACTTTGACAGGATACAGTGATAGTGATCACGCTGGTGATGCAGTCGACCGAAAAAGCACAACCGGAGTTCTATTTTTTCTCGGATCAAGTTCGATAACTTGGACTTCATAGAAGCAGAAAATTGTCGCACTTTCTTCCTGTGAGGCTGAGTATGTAGCTGCTACAGCAGCAGCTTGCCAAGGAATCTAGCTGGCTAGGCTCATCGGAGAACTGAAGGTGGAAAAACCCACTCAGGTGAAGTTGTCTATTGACAACAAATTGGCAATTGCATTATCAAAGAATCCAATATATCATAGCAGATCAAAACACATTGATACTTGATATTATTTCATTCGTTCTTGCCTCGAAGACAAGTTAATTGATGTCGAGTAGATCAACTCTGCTGATCAGTTAGCTGATCTACTCACAAAGCCACTAGGAATAACTAGATTCAGTGAACTTCGTCAGAGACTAAGCATGATTGAAGATGGCAAGAATACTGGGCTTAGAGGGGAGATTGGTGGCATTAAACCTAGTTAAGAAATGGAAGCGTGAAGATCGCCGAAAATGGCGACACTCCGGCAATTTCTTTTGTGAAGAATGTTTCAAATTGTTTACCATTTCTTAAGTTTTATTATTTTAAATCCTGACCGTCCAACTCTCTGGAGTTATAACGGCTGAGATGAAAGCTACGTGAAACGTGGCCCCACGAATCGTAACTGTCATTAATGACCGTTACTCTGGCTCTCTCCTATAAAATTGTACTCAATGTGTTCGATGAAATGTATGAAAAGAGAGGTTGCTCTGTTTTCAGAGGAAGACATTCGTGCTTGATCCTTCCCCACTATCTCTCTCCAGATCCTTTGATCCCAACAAGAGAGAGAGTACCTCCAATTGGTTTCTAAGTTGGCTGGTCAACTGCCCGATGAACAGTTGATGTAGGGTTTCATTCTTGAGTCCGAAGTTTAGTAACTGATCATATCATTACCTCATATCATTCTTGAGTGATTCATTTGAAGTACTTAATCTGCTAGTTTAGGGAAATGGAGTACTTCTGGCCCTAATCGATCCACCCAGTGATTTCTATTTGATGGTTAGAAACTTACCTTCTCAAATCCAACCTGATGCTATGGAAATGATGCAGCAAATGAGCCAAATGATGCAAAAAATTATGAATCAAATGATGTTGCATCAAAAATAAATTATAAAGGCTTTTGAGAATAAGAAAGAAGAGGGACAGTCACTGATAACATGCTATTTATGCATGTAATTATATAATTATTAATGCAAATTAAGGCATTAATCATTACAAATATATACATGTTATCAAATTTTAAGTATATTTCTATCATTTTGTGTAAATTCATGTTATGATCTTAAAATACACCAAATTATGGATTATTATAAATAATTACACATTACAATCTTTAATCCTAATTATATTTATGATCATAATCATGTTTTAGGAGTGAAAATATGAGATAAAAGATATTTATTAACATTTATGTATTTATATAAATTTATTTTATATAATACATAAATGTATAAAATTAATTAAAATCTATTATCTTCTTATTTTAATAATTTGACCTTTTATAATGATAGATTATTCAATTTTGAATCCAACAAAACAAATTTGAATTAATTTGGAGTCGTATTTTGAAAGTTATGATTTTTACAATTTTATAGAATTTTCTAGAATTTTTCTGAATTTATTTCTATTTATTTTCGATTTTTAAATGTTTTAAATTAATTAAAAAATCGCAAAAAGGGGTTATATGTCGCGCGTGTACACGTGGATGCGACGTGGTACTCGGGGCCACGTGGTAGAGCCACGTGGACAGCACGCGGGTGCTTGCGTGGCGCTGATGTGACACGTGGCGTATTTATATTTACTATATATATTTATTTAATAAAGTATATAGGTCTTCCGATTATCGGAAGACAAAGTATTAATCCCTCTTAATCGTCATATCTTATATACCCGAATATACTCCTTTGTTTTTCCCGTGTGGGACTAAAGTCCCTTAGTTTTCTTATGTGCAAGACGCGTGGCGTGATCTTGTGCATCCGATCGACATCGCGACAAATAGCGTGCGTAGATCACGTGGAATCGAGGTCCACGCGATCAGAGATCAACCACGTGCCTAAATACTCACTTAAGTGAATAAATCGCGACCGTCTGATCGAGAGTTATAACGGTCCAGATTATTCACATCAGATGGACATCAATCACATCTTAACCGCACGATCACGATCGGACGATCGTTGAATCATCGCGACGATTCGTGAAGAGGCGTCTCATCGCGATCGTCCATCGCGATCAACTCCATCAGATCGGACGGCCACGATCATTTCCGAATTTTATAAAATCCGTTCTTCGCGACGGAAGAACGGCCCGCGATCAATCTTCAAATTCTCTTTGTTTAGAGCTCCAATTCGCGCACCATCTTTTTCATTGTGTGCGCAACTCATTTCCGCTTCTGTTGGATGTTTAATTTCAAATTTTTGATTGAAATAATTGGAAGAAATCAAGTCTTGAACTCCTCTTTCGTCTTCGAAAATTCGGAATGAAAAGCCTTGCATCCGGCGATTAATTGGATCATTTCGAAGGCTAATTTGGGTTAGATTGTTTTTTTTCATCTTAATATTTCATCATTTAGTGTTAATTTTACTTTAAGTATTGTAGATTAAGTTTAATTTAGTTTTAATTTCTGTTTTTAATCATTTTGCGATACGAAAATTTATCTTAACTTCAAACTTCGATTACTCTTCGAATTCTCATCCAAATCACCTGATTTTTGATTCTGTGGATTCGAAATTGAGTTATCTTTCTTAATATACTAAATTGCCCAATTTCTAACGTAATTTCATCGTCCGATTTGACCGAATTTCAAAGATATCTCTCAAATTTCCCTAATTCTCTGTGGATTCGACCCTTAATTATCATTATACTAATTAATTACCTTGATTAATCATAAATTAGTAAGATTAGGACTTTTTTTTGACACTGAATCGTGTGCATTCAACGACCACACGATTTAGTCTCGTCAGTCACCTAGTCAGCCCATAGAAAATTCAAGAAATTGTCCAACAATAGAATATCAGCAAGGAGAGTCTAGTTAGATAAATTTAAGACAAAACCTATGAAATGAAAATGTTAGGATAGTGAATACGTTGAGTGAGAATATTTTACCTGATCCTTATTTTCAATTATTAGAAGAAATCGATAAGCCATTAGAAGTAAATGAGAATATTAAGACTGAAAATATAGTAGTAAAAAATTTGAATAAAATCATTTATTACTCACAATTGATGAATGAATATAGTGAAGATGATGAAGAGAAAGAGCTTGTAGATGAAGAAACAACAGCTGATCATGGAAGAATCATCCAAATTTTAGTAGAAGGGAGTAAGGACAGAAATAAAAAAAAACATATTTCAGGTGAGGAAAAATTAGTTGATTTAGGAGATGCAGGAGACAAAATTAATAAATATAATCATAATTTTGTAACCATGGATGTTGATAGTGAGGATAATGATGTATATCATATACCGAAATTAGAAGATAGCTCTTGGGAAGATGAAGAATTTAATGAGTTGAGAAATGAAAAACTAGAAAAAGAGTTGATTCAACTAATGGGGAGAAATAAAAATAATGAATATGAATATAAAAATAATTTTGGAGGAGAAAATTTGAATTTTACTGAATTCATTAGATCTGAGATTAAAGAAGACAATCCTTCTATCCTTTAAAACCCACAACCCATAAGAATTACTTCTAAACTTGAAATATTTCACTCCTTGCAAATTGAACAAATATGTATGGAAGATAAAATAGAACAGGGGAAGATTATGCAAATAAAAGAAGACATTAAGAAATGGATGAGTGGAAGAATTAGAGATATCAATTTAGATGAAAAAATTCTAGATTGGGTAAGAGCTAATTTGAAAATTATATGGCTTGATGACATTTTATGGTCTATTAATAGAAAGTATTTATTAATGAATGAGAGTCTTACAAAAAAAATAAAAATAAGGAAAGATTCTTTTCAAAATGAAAATATTATTTTTGAGAAATTTTTGTTAATTTCCATTTTTTTTAAGTTGAAAGTATGTCAAGGTATATATATGAAGTATATGAATTTATGCTAAATCTGAAAAAGAATTTTATGAAACTTACCTTGGGATACAAATATATTTTGATGGCCATAGATCATTTTATATGATCTAAGAACTGTTCAATTGAAGACATTAAATTCAGTGCTGCATAAAAGGCAACCCACAGTTTTTATTTCATTTTGTTTGAATTTTTTTTTAAGCTCTATTTTTCTTAGAATTTCGTAGTACTTGTTTCTATATTTATTTATTTTTTGAAAAAGTGCAGGAAGAGGAGTGTAGGATGAAGTAGAAAATTAAAAATGAGGTTGAGGTGATGTCTTTCTGAGCTATATCATTTATGACAATATTTTTAATGCTTAATTTTGCATATATGCATACTTCACTTAAAAATTATATTTTCTACATATTTTGTTTCGATTTTTCTGTGTCATTGAGAACAATGTCATTTTAAAGTTAGGGGGTGAAGTATTAATTATTAATTTATGTTGTAGGATAATTAAAAACATGTGTTTGTATTTTTAATTTTTATTATCATGTTCACTTAGAACAACAACTAAAAAAATACAATTAAAATAAAATTCAGAAAAACTACAACATCTATTTTTTAGTTTTCTATTAGGAACAATAGACTGTCAAAAATAGCTTTAAACAACAGACAAAAAACAATCCGAAATTTGAAATTCTAGAGATCCTTTTCTCACATTTCAATCCCCTAGACATATATTACTGAAATTTGAAATTATAACTATAAAGAGAATAGTTTTGATTTATTTTTGACAAATTTATTGTTGCTAAAAATAGAACTAAAAATAGAAAACAGAATTGTCAGAACTATCTAATTTACAAATTTCTTACATCATATTGCATGCATGAAAAATTAAATCAATTAGATTGATTGATACCAAAAGATACTAGGAAG